TTTCTCTGATTCCCCAAGGCTGTGAGATCTCTTTTCAGTTGTTCCCTTAAGTGCTTTCGCCTAGCATACAATTACTGTGATTGTTTATTTCTCTCTTGCCCTACTCTGGGGCTGGCACAAATCAGGAATTTAATAAACCCTTGTTGAAAAGTAAGAAGGGAAGAAATTACTTCCCCAGTGGTTCTCAAACTTGAGTCTGCATCAGAACCCACTTGGAGAGCTTGCCACAAGGCTCCGCCCCCAGAGGTTCTGATTGGAGTTTCCGATTCTGTAGTTTGGGGTGATGCCCCAGAATCCGCATTTCTAACCAGGTGATGCTGATGATGCTGGTCTGGGACCACACGTTAAGAACTCCTGCTTTATACAATTTAAAGCAGCCTGAAAGGTGAAGGACAGTTGCTTTTAAAGAAGGCTGGTGGAAGGTTTTGGTAGCTTAGTAAATTTCTGGTACCTCTCTTCTTCGTGGCTTGCCTAATAAGAGCATTGCATGAGAGTTTAGCTTCTGAAAAAGATCTCAGGAAACTAGGTGAGCTCTAAGGTAACCAAAGCACACGCCCCATTAGGGATCAAAGGCAGCACCTGGTGGCTCGTTAATGGGTTGCCAGGCAACGGAACAAAGGTGAGGCTGAGGCTCGGATTAGCAGCTGGCAGGAATCTAAGAGTGAGCTTCTGAGGCATGCAGAGGGTAGACTTCTCATCAGGAGAAGACCACAGAAAGCAGATGTAAGGAATCCCCAAGATCATTGCCTTGATTTGCACATGGAAGGGCACAACCTCCCTGTGTGGAGAACTTCACGTTGTAACTTGGCCTCTAATATGATTGGGGAATATTTTTCTCAGAAGAACCACTGAGAACCCATGAGGGACATTTCTTAAAGAGCTATAGATACGAAACGACTTTAGACTCATCACCATCTGCTTTTCAAAAAAAGCTCTATTGGTTTATTTTTTACTATAAAATAGTCACATTTGAAAACTTAAAAAGTACAAAAAAGCATGGAACACCATGTCTCCTGAAGGAAATCTTATTAAAGTTTTCCATCCATCCTTTCAGAAAAAAATAAGGTTAACATAAAAGAGATTATTCTATATATGCTTGCTCTATAACTTTATAAGAAAACACTTAACTGAATACAGTGGACATTTCTGCATTAATACTTCTCTGCTTCATTCTCTTACCAGTCACGTGGGGTTTTATTGTGTGGATGCATCATATTGTACTTAACCTTCCTGGATGGGCATTTAGGTGTTTTCCACTTTTTGCTATTACCAGGACTGCTGCAGTGGACAACCTTAGACATGCATCTTTGTGCATTTGTCAGGTGGAATGCCTAGATCAAAGACAATTTATACTTAAAGTTTAGCTGTGGATTGCAGGTTTCTCTCCAGAAAGGCTGTTTAACTCATATTTCCACCAGTAAGTGCTCATTTCCACACACCCACACCAATACTTGCCATCATTAGTCCTCTAACATTTTTTACAAGCCTTATTACTTTAATTTTTCCATTCTTGGATCAATTTCTTTGGGCATTCTTCAAACGTTTATTTTCCCTTCATATTTCTCCCAACTTGCCCGTTCGTGTGATTTGCCCATCTTTCTATAGGAATTGTTTATCTGTTTTTCTTATTTACTTATAAAAGCTTATATATATCTATATAGGGAGATTAATACTTTCTCCAGTTCATTGCTTGTTTCTCTTGACGCTTTTTCCCCTCAGTGCCATAAGGATGTTTTTGGTTTTTAATTTGAATACAGTTGAGTCTATTGATGTTCTAGGAACTTGCAGGTTTTCCTTTTAAAATAAAAAAATTATAATTCTATCATTTAAAAAGTCTTCCCTTTTATCTTGTGGCCCAGTAAGGGCCAAAAAAGAGAGAAGAGAAAAAATAGAAGGGAGCAAAAGAGGAATAAAGACAGAGAAGAGAAAAGAGAGCTGTATTCATCATGTTTACTAAATTCCTAAGAGAAAGGAGTGATTCTCAAATTTTACTCTATATATGAATCACTTGGAGATTTTTTAAAAACATAGATCCTGCAGGACCACAGGCACTTACAACTAGAACATACAACTATGTACTGGGGAGCTTTGGAGAGACGGAGGAGGAAAAAAAGAAGATTGGCTGCAGATGTTAGCTCAGGTGCCAATCTTTAAAAAAAACCAAACAGATTCTGATTCAGTAGGTCTGAGAGGGGACTGAGAGTCTGCATTTTTAACCAGCTCCCAGGTGAGACTGATGGCCCATGGACCACACTGGGAGTAGCCAGGCTTTACACTACAACAAGGGGAAAACATTGATGGTTTTGATGATAGTTCTAATACCACTTGAACTGTCATTTGTTTTGAAAACTCTTTTCTCTCTCTTTAATGAAGCAGGGAAAATCCTAACTTCTTGTTTTGGGAAAGTAGGAAATAGCCACAGCCCATTTTTTAAAGAAAAATAAGTCAGCTCTCATGGAATAACATCCCTCTACCTCACGGCCTTTTAGAATATACAGCTAAAGATTTTAAAAAGCGAGTGTACTGGTACAAAATGTTCACTTCTTAAGATCTTCTCATTGGGCTGGATAAAATTAAATTGAGAGATTAATTGGCCCTTTCGGGTAGCATTATTCCAGCTCTTTACTGGCTATCTCCCCACCCCAGCATTGTAAAGGGCTTTCTCTGTATTATTTTTGAGAAATAATAGCTACAGTCTAAACACACCCACTAAGACTGTAATCTAATGGTCCTGTAAAAAGCAACATAGTCTGGTGGGGACAAAAAGTCTTTGGCTAGGACTCAGGAGAGCTGGATTCTTGCTCTGCCTTTAACATGCCTACTTTGTGTATATTAAACTTCCCTGGCTTGGTTCCTTCAATATCTCTTGCAAAATGAGACAACATTAGAACCTCACTTACGCCAGCTTGATGCTGGAATAAAAGCATTCCCAGAGGGGTCTCTGGACCTTTTGGAGTAGCATGATGTCAACGCTCCTCGTACGACCTACAGTATACTGGCTTGGCTTTCCAACTTCCAAGCAAGTTTCCACAAAGCTTTCTCCGAACTGCAAAATAAATCACAGGAAAAGAGGCTCTGGGCATTTTGAGTGTCCCGAGCCCAAGAAGTCGCCTGAGCCATATTCACGCCCCTGCTGTAAGGGCGTATGGGCAGGGCTTAGCTATTTGCAAGGAAAGTAATGAGCATATGTTTCTATTTGAAAGGAAAAGGTTAAATGTGGACTGGACTCAACTGGACAGCTCAAGGGTAGTTGGGGACAGCACTGCCCAGTTGGTACGAGGAAAGGGAAACTAGCGTTTGAATGTGAATTATCTCACTCCCTGGAGACAACCCCGCGAGATGGGAATTATTCCTAACTTTTTACAGGAACTTCGAGTCAGCAGTTTGCCCAAATTTCACAACCAGAAAGAGCAAAGACCTCAAAACCCTCATGGGCTCCGCTCGTACTCTCCACCCCCCTCCCCCAATCATCATCTCTGAGCAAAGCAGGAGTGTGCAGAGAGGAAGCCTCAGTTTCCCATCTGTACTGCACCCCTCACCCAGAGGGGTGGCGGGGATTAGGGTGATGATGCCACAGCACGGTAAGTGCTCAATGCACAGTAGGTATTGCTTATTTTTTCCCCCAAGGCTCTCTTGTAACCCTGCAAGTTAGAAGAGGCCCAGAGCAGCTGCAACAGAAAATAACAGTACATAACCCCCACTCCCAGTCTCATCCACATGGCCTCAGCACGGAACGGCCCAAAGGGCTCTGCTGTGCTGTTCCAGTCAGTGCACATTAGTGCCGGAGCCTTCAACAGGTTGCTGGAGAACATGCCTTCTTTGGGTTGTATCTGACTTCTCCAGCCCTCCTAGCATGGCGTGGGAATGGGGCAGAGGGCAGGCCCTGGGGGTCACATCTAGCTCAGAATTCACCTCCTCCGTTTGGCTGCTGTCCTTGGGTCTCAGTTTCCCCATCTTTCCTTCACATAGTCATTGTTAAGACTTAATAGACGTTGGACAGCGCACAGTGGGTGCTCTGGAATACGGGAGCTGGCTCCCACTCCGGAAGCTCGGGCCACAGTGACCCGCTCTCCACTCTCCCACCTGGGTCCTTCTTGGCCGGGGCAATAAACAGAACAGTAACTGCAAACCCGCGCCCAGGGCTTCCCGGGGAGCCAGCACAGAGCGAGGCCCGCGCCCTGTCCCGCTGCCATCACCACTTACATGATCTCACTCAATCTTACATGCCCCCAGGCTCCTCCCGGCCAACTGCCAACAGCATCAGACTGTGTGTCACCTTCCAGGCCTCCTCCCACAAAAATGCTGGCCTCCCAGCCTCCGGAGCGCTTAGTTCACCCCATAAACTCGGCTAATGCTTACCACATGCTGCCTAAGCTCGAGCACCCGCTCCCCACCCCCCCAGTCCCGCGCTCCCAGGCCCCGCGCTGGGAGATCCTCTGTCCTCGGGGACACTCCCCGCTAGGACACCCTTCCAGCTAGGGGACCCTCCTCCTAGGAGACCCTTCCTGCTAGGGGACCCTTTCCCTAGGGGACCCTCCCCCCAGACCCGCCTACTCCAGGCGGGAAGCGGCTGGCACTGATCACTGATGTCCCTGCAGGCCACACATGACCTTGGACGCCCGTGCAAAGCCGGCGTCCACTCTTCCCTCCAGGTGGCGGGTCTGCGGCCAGTGGCGCCTTTGGTTGCTATGAATTGAAAACCCGATGGAGAGTGTTTCTCGTTTGCAATCACCGTAACTTGGCGCATAACCACCCGAACACGGAGCCCGCGAGTGGGAGCAGGGCGGGCTGGGGGCGCGCCCACCTGCCCGGGCCCGCGTCCCGCCCGCCCTGCGGGGCCCGCCCCCTCGGCCGCACGTGCGCCAGCCCACCTGCGCGCCCCCCCCCGTCCCTCCCCTCCCCGGCCGTGCCCGGCCCGCGGAGGCCCGGGCCGCCCGCGCCGAGCAGCCAGCCGAGCGCGTGCCGAGACGGCGCCGGCCTGCAGTGCCCGCCGCGCGTCCCTAGGGGGCGCAGCCGGCGCGGGAAGCCGCCCTAGCCGAGCCCAGGGCCCGGCGCGAAATTCCAGGCGGGCGGGCGCGGCGAGTTTGAAAACAGGCGAGGCGTGGGGGCGGGACTCCGGGGGCCCGCGAGCCGCCTCCCCTCAGCCAATCAGCGGCGGCGGCGGGCGCGGGCGGGCGGCGCGTGCGGCCGGGCTGTGAATGGGGCGCGGCGGCGGCGGCGGAGGGCGAGCGCCGGCGCGCGGGCGGGCGCACTTTCTCCTCAGCGCCGGGCGGGGGCGGCGGCGGCGGCGTCTCCTCAGCGCCCGCCGGACCCTTCAGGAGACGCGGCGCGGCCCGGGCGCTCCGGCCGCGGGGCCGGCCTGACGGGCATTTCCTCCGCAGACAACTTCTCCTCCGCCCGCGCCGCTCCGGTCCCCGCACCTGGCCGCCCCGCGGGCGCCCGGCTGGGAGGCCACCGCCCGCCCGCCCGCCGGCGGGGCCCGAGGCGGGGGCGGCGGCTCCTCGGCATGGCCCGGGGCGACCGGCTGGCGGCCGGCGGCGGCGGCGGCGCGGCGGGCCCGGGGCGGCCGCGGGGTCCTGCCCGGCCCCGAGCGGCGGCGGCGGCCCCTCGGCGCCCGCGCGGCGGACGCGGGCCGGCGCGGCGGGCGGCCGCCGACAAAGTTGAGCGCGGGCCGGCGGCGTGGATGGTGGGCGCTGCTGGCGCTGCAGCTGCACTGGCTCCGGGCGCTGGCGCAAGGTAGGCGCGGGCGGCCCCCGGCGTGCCCCTTCCCTGCCGGGGGTCGCGGGCGGCGGGCGCGGGGCGGCGGGGCGAGGGCTGCGGGCGCTGCGCCCCCTGGTTCCCGCGCGCGGCGACGCTCCGGAGGCGCCCCGCTCGCGGTCCGTGCCGTGGGCGCCGCCGCGCGCCCCGCTCCCGCGGACTTGGGGGTCGGCGCTCCGCACAGGGGCGCCCTGGTCGCGGCGGGCGTGCTGGCGGCGGAGCCCGGTGTCCCGCACCTGCAGCCGCGCCCCGGCCCCAGGTGGGCGCCGGGCGGCGGAGGGAGCAAAACTTTGGGCGTCCGCAGCCTGTCCGCTCGGCTTTGTTTCCCTGCACCCCCGTTGGCTTGTGTTTGACGGCGCTGGGGCTCGGGGTGGCTGCAGCCCCGCTGGGGACTCCGGGGGACCGCGGGAACGGGAGGATGGACCGAGCTGTCCGCCCTAAATCTGGATCCCTTAAAAAAAAACCCAAAAACCTAGCATGCACCCCAGGCCAGTTAGCGTCCTTTTTCACTGAAGTTTGCTTGTCTGGAAAGAAGGTAAAAGCTTAAACGACAGGGATGCAGGGAGAACTGTCTTCATCCGTCCTTTTGGGGAGGTCTTGTGGGGTGAGGGGAGCTGCGATGCTGGTGGCGGTTTAGGGGAATCCGCTTTGGGGGCCTTAGCTGCGCGGTGGAATACTACTATCCCGGTAAGGAGCCGCGGTGAGGGGGCGCTAAGCTGAAAGTAGCCGTGATCGGTGTCCGGGGAGGATGGTTCACGTGCAACAGCATATGATTTAAGTGCAGTAAGGTTTTAAAGGTCTGACCTCGAGGCATCCGGTAGTTGAACAGCTAACTCGTAATTCCTGATGCTAACTTGCTGTTGTTACCTGATTGTGGTCCTCCCCGCCCGCTCCCCGAGGCTTTCCTAAATGCCTGCTTTCCTCTTTTTGCTCCATGAGAACGAATTGCCGTGTTTCTGCTTCATTTCACTCCTCCCTTACTCGGAAAAATTTTCGTTTCACTTATTTGTGCTTCTTTTTTGGCTTAATGACTGACTTTGGTAGGAAAGCATTTATTAAGTCGTTTTGCAAAATGGGATCTGTAGATTGCCAGAGAAGCCAGGTTCAAAGGAAGAAATCCGAATCACTTAGGGATGACCTTTAAAATAGCAATGGTGTTTATTATGAAGTTTCCCCCCCTTTTTTTTTTTAAACAGTGACTTGCACTTTGCAGCAAGCTGTGTACATTTATACATTTGAAGATTTGGGCACAGGTTCAGGTGGTGGGGAAAAAAATCTGGCTTTGTTTTGAAGTAAATTACACGGATTTCCAGTTTTTATCAGTTGCACTTTGAAGGCTGTGTAACCCGTCGCATTTTTACATGATGTTGATGAAACTGCTTTAATTTTTTGAAAAAGTGTTCTAAGGCAGCAGTCAAACTTTGTTAGGAATGTTTTATTCCTTGTCACCAGTAAAAACATTTGTACCTGTTTTACATTTATATGGCTTATAACGTGTACGGATCTTTTCGTGTAAAATTTCAAATAGGTTGTCACTAATTTTGAATTCATTGACAGGTTTCTGTTCTCTGTGAAATGTGTAATATATCCATCATTTTTTTACATCCTATTGAAAATTCGTATTACAGGGGAGATGTCACCATTTGACAAAAGCTCATGTGTCTTGAAAATGAAAATTTTGGTGCTGCTATGGAGATTTCTGATGGAATGATGAATTTGGCTATATGTATGGGAATGTATTCTCTAGAATCTTATCAGATAAAATGTAGCGTTCTAAGTGGAACACTTACCACTAAGTTGAAACAGGTCATAAGTACTGTATTACTATGTAGCTAGGTGAAGCAATTCCTAATTTCTGTTTTCTGATGGTGTTTCACGTGGTTAGGCTTAGTCATGCTAGCTTGGGAGAAAGTATAATATTGACCAGTAGAAGTTACATATAGTTACACAGTCTAAGAGCAGAGTACACAATTGATGTTATGTGAAACACCAGGTTCAGATCTTCCAAAGGTAACTTTAGTTGTCCTGGGTTTCTTCTTTCTACATGGTAATGAGAATTTCTGAGTTATATATTCTGCTCACTGGTGTGTTACCTGTGATGCCTAAAGAGCCAGGTTTTTAATTCTGAAAGGCAGGTAGCAATGCATGCGTCTTTATGTTGTCTACCAAGGAGCCAGACCTGAGTGTTTTAGAAGGATGCCTTCTGTGGGTGAAGGATGGCAGGGTCATAAGTATATGTGTGAAGTGTGTGGTGCCCTAGCTTTACTGCTGGATCTTTGACAGGCCGATTGATTCTGGTCATGCTCACTACAGCCTCTCGTTAAGTTTGTATTCATCAGGCCGAGACGGGTACGAATCCTTTTCTAAGTTACTGCTCTGGGGTTGTTCCTGGTCCTCAGTTTCTCCTTGGGAGTCATTTCCAGTCACTTAGAACAATGGTTCTCACACTTTGTTGATCAGCAACACCTGGGGCATTTGCTGACCCTGCAGAGGGCCAGCTCCTTTTGTTCAGTGAACCACAGGTTGCTTTCCAGGTGATTCAGGTACATAGCAGAGTTTGAGAATCACTAACTTAGAGTGCCTTATGTTTTTCCTCATTGTCCCCACCTGCTGATTTCCCGGAACCACGTCTCTCAAACTTGGTTGCTGATTGGAGTCACTGGGGAGCTTTGAACAATACTAAGGTCTGAATCTCATTCCCGGAATTTGTTTTAATTGACTTGAGGTTTGACCTGGGCCAAGGGAGATTTTAAAACTCCCCAGCTTTTTAGTCACTCATTCTGTTTATTTCTACGGGCACTGTTGAGCTCCTGCTTTGTGCTAGTCTTGGGTAGGCATCAGCATACCTAGTGACATTTTAAAATAGTCATCTGGGCCCCGCCTCTGACCTGGACGGTCTCTGGAGTGTGAATTTGTGCATTTAAAAAAGGTGATTCTTGTATCTTGGTGTTATGGTTTTATCCTTGTGTTGGCCTATCCCGTAACCTCACCCATTTTTGTCATCCTTAGCCTGAATCCCTGTAGTCTGGACTCATACCTAGACCTCTATCTGGACTATTTTTATCAGGCCAATTCCCAGCCTTGGGTAAGGTCTGCTAATTAGGCTTCTCTGCCAGTGGTTTGCTGGAGAAATCACAAAACAGTGTTAATTGGGTTCACTACAAATTGAGCTTCTGTTTGGGCCCTTATGGCTTCCCATTACCCCAGAAGTGCTTGGTTTCCGCCTTTCCTCTTTACGCTGGACCCCCTTCCCCTCACAACTTGGAGTTTCAGCTGGAACTTGAGTTCCAGACTGCCTGCTCCACTAAAGTCTTCATAGACAGTGCTACTCTTAATAAGTGCTCAGACAGTTACTGATTAATCGTATTAGACCATGGCATATTTAGCAAATGGCAACTGGCCACTAGGTTGGTAACTGTCTTGCAAATCCAATAATAAGCACTTATCACCCTCTATGCAATCTGACATCTAGCCACCTGTAGCTAACCTTTGTTGAGCCCCTTTGTGTGCCAAGCACTGGGTGCTTTACAGGTAGGCTCATGTACTCTTCACAACAGCCCCGGGAGGTGGGTGGCATTTTGTACTCATTTTACCTATGAGGAGATGTAGGCAGTGAGATGTGAACTAATTTGCCTAAGGCCCCAGGACTTGTAGTGATAGAGCCAGAATGGGAGCAGGCTGCCTGATCCATGGTCTACGTTCATAACCAGTGGCTGGAGGGTCTCCCCTGTGGCCTGTAGCTTTGTGTGGGGAGGGAGAGCAATCTGATCAACACCAAAGGGAAGATGGCGGTGGGTGTTTCTAAATACTGTATTGAGTGACACGACCTCAAGTTTCGAGTTACCTTATTTACTGTTTTGATTGTAAAACAATAGGAATTACATTAAACAATTTGAAAAATAGAGAAAAGGAAGGCACATAACCCCCCTACGTATACTAACCCTCTCCCATGATAAAGTGACTGTTGCCATTTTGGTGTTTTTCTTTCCAAAGAAATTTTTTTTTTTCGTAATGTAACTGTCCAATTCCAACTGAGAATGGGTCGTGGCAGTCAGTTGGAGTCTGCAGATTTGAATACCCGAGAATTGACCCCTAGGAGTGTACCAACCATTTCTTTGAGGAACACTTAGAAAATTCTTTTATCTCCACTCGAGTACATGCATTTAAGTCCTTTGAATGAAAATAAAGAGGTGGGGTTTGTAAGGGGCGGAGCTTTTGTTTGTTAGTTTGCTTTAGCATACATTTTATCTAACTACAGTTAAGTTTAGCTACATACTGGGACTGTACCTAGCCAGGAAGTTTCCTGTGCCCTCAGATATTAGAGTAAAACAAGGGACACTCTGACAAGAGAGTAATTAAGTAGAATCAAATAAGATGGTGTAGTTAAGTTCTACCTACCAGTTGCCTTTATTATTTCCATCCTAAGAGTCCTCACATTGTTTTTGTTGTGACTTGGGGCCTTTCTCGAGGTGTCCCTGAGATCAGAGACTGGTAATATTGGCTGACTAAATCTGGAAAATGGAACACACACAGAGAGTGAAAACACAGAAACGGGATTTTGACAAGGTCATGGCTTAAATTTCTGTAAGAAAAGCAGTAGTTGTAAGAGTAGACTCTTTAAGACCAAATCCATGAAAATTGAGTAAAGCTGAGGGTGGGGAATGAAAATCAGGTTGAAAGGTATAGTATAAAGAGGAGTTATAGTAGGATTATCTTTTTAAAAATGTGGATGTAAGTTTATTATCTGGTTTAGTAAGCGGTGATACATTTCTACCTAATGTAGCTGAGTGTTCTAATTTGTATAGTCTCTTTTATTCAAATTAATTTGACTTCAACATTTCTGTAGGCCATTTTCTTAAACAAATTTCCCCCTAAATTTGCAAATCTCTTCTAATAAGAAAGATTATAAACATTTGTACCTATGATCCTGAGGGAGAATGTATTTTGTCAACTGGGACTGTGAATATGGCACCTCCTGTCATCCTTTTGTATTAGCACATAGAAGTTAGTCTTAAGTTTTTTTCAATGAAACTCTGAAATGTAAAAGTTGGTCATAGTTCGACAGATACCTCCCTGCCAGTTATTGATCCTATACCTGAGACCTATTCTGGAGAAATATATTATTAGTCTTACAGCTTCATTATATTAACGCTATTTTTATTATAGCTGAATACAAAAATTAAAAACAATGTTATGGAAGCATTGCCTTAGGAAACCCTTGTTATTTATACATTTGCTATTCTAGTATTTAGGTGGTCTGATGGGCAGCTCTAAAGCCAGCATCTCATTGCCTTAGCCCAAGCCTGGTCCCTCTGCCCTCAGGGTCTTCTGTGGATATTGTGGGAATGAGAATATTTTTATGAAGCTTTCCTAGAAACATGGGTGTGGTGAATGGAAAAGGCTTGGACTAAGTGTCAGTAGACCTGATTTTATTTCATTCTGTGACTAACTTGCAATATGAGCAAGTCTGTTAGCCTCTCTGAGTCCATTTTCTCACCTGTGAAAGTTGGGAGTTAGACTAGATCTTCAGAATCGTTCTGCTCTGATTCTCTGGTCATCTGTATGTTGTCATATTCTTTCTGCCCTTCGCCAGACTCTATAAGTGTGTCTCCTGTCTGGGGATTCTATAACTCCATATGTCTTAGCTCTTAGAACCTAATTCTGTTCATTTTACTTTTGCCAAGGTATTTACGATGTTGAAGACAACTAAGATGCAATATGATATTTCTCCTTAGGTGCTGCCGTCTATCACATCATGTATTTACTCTAACCTGAAAATGATTCATGCTCAAAATTTTAGGTTCTGTAAAATGAATTAATGCCATAATTTATTAGTGTAATCCTGAAGTTTGGAGAAATAAATTTCCTTAAAATGTGAGAATCTTATTTATTTAAATAGCTATAAGAAGAAAGGGAAAGGCTAATTAAAATCTACT